TGGTCCACGTATTTTTTCCTCCCATTTTTCACGGTTTTTTCTTATCTATCTCAACTCAATTAACGCAGCTCTTCTTTTCAAAGCGCGCGGAAATTACAAAGCGCGCCTCACCGTCGCTTTATCACCCATTCGCAATTATTTTTGCGAGAGAACTGGCACGGCCGGCTCTCGTCACGATGCCGAAGGGACATAATTCCCCGAGGCGCTCGTCCGAGTTCCTCAATTAACGCATCCACGCTGCTTACTTTACCTCAAATACGACGCCGGGCGGAGGGAGTCGTTAGCGCGGTTTTCTTGCGGCGGGGCGCAATATCTCGGCCGCGATCAAAGGGAACGAATTTCATGTAATTACCGGCGAATACGCGTTTCCGTGGAAGACGAGTCGCTGCAGGATGGTACGCGGATGAATTTATCGCCGAACTTATCGCTATGATTCTTTTCAGGACCGTTCTCACCCATCAACGCTGGTCTCTTCCGGTACCTCGCTTACCGCTCGATGTGCTTTTCTCCCCCCCCCTCTCTCTTTCTCTCTCCGTCTTTCTCTCAAAGCTTTCACCAATTAAGGTGACGCTCGCGCGGGAAATGACTTCCTGGTGGCCGATGTGTAAAAGACCCGACGGATTACGCGGCCCGAGGGTGCTCACTCGGTCGTTCTGAAATTCAGTACGAGTCCTTTGATCCTGTTTCTCCTCCCCTCCTCTTGATTGCAGGTGTCTGCGGCCGGAGGGGCATTTAAAAATATTCACCGCAATTCGGAATAATGGGAATGACGCACTACGTGCTATCATTGTGAAGAAATATTCTGTTAGTTTTGAATCGGTTTGTTAATATTCTATATTTGTGTTTATTATAAACGGGCAATTTGTTAGATAATTTCGGAAATTATACAGTTTGCCGCGCATGAGTGCGGAACTTTTCGCAAAAAGGTAGAGTACTTTTATGTTCATAATAATTTAATAAATCTCAAGTAAATTCTGTACACCGTCAAAAATATTCGATTAAATCTAATCGGATAATCCAATTACACAATAACAAACGAACATATCCAATTAAATTGTACATCCGATGAAAAATATGATCGGTAACTGCATTTCATTCGGATAAATTTCATTAAATGTATCCATAATTTAATCGGAAAATGTAATCAGAAAAATTAACCATCGGAAACATTATTTAATTGGTTTATCCGATGAACATTTTTCTCAGTGTCATCATTACCGATTGTTACGCTTTCTCGTAAAGTCTGAATATGCGATAACTTGGAGACTAAAGGCGAAGATATTATTAAAAAGAAACCTATTATATCGCACACGTTATACACGTACTATATTTTATGCCTCTCAGACTTGATTGTCGATTTTTGTGTGCATTTAAAAATATTCGCCGCCATTCGGAATAATGGGAATGACGCACTACGTGTTATCATTGTGAAGAAATATTCTGTTCGTTTTGAACCGAAACATTAGTGTTCTATATTTGCGATCATTAGAGCGGGGCATTTTGTTAGATAATTTCGGAAATTATACAGTTTGCCGTGCGTAAGTGCGGAACTTTTCGCAAAAAGGTAGAGTGCTTTTATGTTCATAATAATTCAATACATCTCAAGTCATCATTACCGATTGTTACGCTTTCTCGTAAAGTCTGAATATGCGATAACTTGGGGACTAAGGGTGAAGACATAATTTGAGAAAACCTTTTATATCGCACACGTTATACACGTATTTTATGCCTCTGAGACTTGATTGTCGATTTTTGTGTATCGATAAAGATTTACAGTTTGCGTACATAAAATGCGTCCGCCGAAGACGACTTGGACGAAGTAAAATAAAGCAGCTAATAGGGAGAACTCGTGTCGTAAAATCATGCTCGTCCGGATTCTTATACGCGAGTCAATAACGTTCCAATAAAAACCGCCCATAAAAGTTTATTCCGATGCCAGTATATAGCTCTCGATATTTTTCGTTATTAGTACTTTAGTGATAGAAGCGTCTCCGCGATATTATCATATATTTGGCTTTCCTTCCTTAAAGGAATCGGGAGTAAATCCTGCATAAATCGTGTATATTTGAAAACGGAATGTATTTCAATAATAAAACTTTCATCACAATTCTGAAATATCGTTGAAAGCTCGGAATGCATAGGTTTATATCAGTTTGTAAAAGATAATAATTAATAATCATTAATAATCAAAGATCTTACGTTTTAAAATGTACATTTCGAAACATTATCTATGCATCTAAATATAGAGGAAAGTCCTATACTACGAGATAGGATTCTAAAGTGAGATAGCAGGTTTTCAACGTTCAAGTTCAATCGCAAATCTTTTTGGCAACGATTACACGATCCAACAATGAATTTTCACTAAACAGATTTCACTCCAAGGGCAATAAATTAATAGTGGAACCAACAGCAGAAACTCCGCTATCTCGTATTAGGGGCCTATCGCATAATAGGGGACTTCCCTCGACTATTTGTTTGGAGATAATGTTTATTTTTTTCGATTTATCTAACGAAAAATTGTCTCTTCTTTAGAAACTGATTTAAAGAGCAATTTTTATTTTAGAGCGCGAACCTGTTAAGGAATTAATTTGTATTTTCAATTAAAGCGATAGTTTGTAATCGTTGCCCGTATTGCGGCGTAGATAAACATAAAATTTAATCGTTGGCTGATGTTCCTCGTTCGTGAATTTTGGATAACTGTTACAGTCAGCGGATACGTTGCTAAGTTCACACGATCCGTTCACGAGCTACTTTCGCGAAACGAGCTTGCAGCAGGTGAGTTTGAGTTTCCTGCGAGAGAACTCCAGGGCCCTCGTCACGATCGATTCGAATTTCCACGGTAAGTGCATTTATCCGCGTTTATTCTGCGCTAAAATGACATGTTTGCGACACGTTTACAAGCTATTGATTCGCGAGCCACCGTGGCACTTCCTCGCGATTTTGCGTAAATTGTTACGTAAATTTCAGCTATTCCTGGATCACAGCTATTGCCGTAATTGAGGGATAAGTAATATTGCTAACGTTCGACTACGTCCATGATAAGACACTCGTGAGGCCGCGATTGCAAGAGTTATGTGATGCGAATGTCAACGTGCGTTTCGGAAGAAACGAGTCCCATCCCCGTATCGCTCGGCGATAGTTCGCGAGGGGTTCGAAAACGCGTCGGAACGTTTCTAATATCCTGTCTGTCGGCGGGAGATGAGGTGAAAGGGCATCGAGGATCAGCGCGGGACGCGATCGCGAATAGATTTGGCGAACGCCCTCGGCGATCCCCCGAGGGGCGGGGGTGTAGAGCGCAGGGGTGATATTCTGTTCCCGACGAGCTGGCCCGGACAGTTACGAATATTAGATTAAACGCCGCTCGATCCCCTGTCATTAGCAGGATGCTCTAATCAAAGTCGATCCAAAGTTCGGTACCGTTCGACGTGGGTGGTGCGCGTCTTATTAAAGCAGAGACAACCCCCCGGCACTTCCCGTCCTATAGACTACCCGCCGGCTTATCCGCGTCGTTACTCGCCCGCGGGGGCGCCCCCGCATTAAGGGATCATAGACGATGAGGCGCGTTAAGTGTAGTTCGCCGAGGTGCTGTAAGTGAATCATGCCCGTGTAACGCGCGCGGTGATCGACGTCGATGCTGGGTCCCCGTTTCGGGAGTGCGGTCGTGCATTGCAATTTGCACTTAGCCGTCTCGATTCTGGTGCACGCGCGAGATACAACTTCATCTATGGGATTAATTGAGAGGAGTCGTTTCGCCGTAACAGCCGCCTCGCGTGACGCGAAAATTGGATCGCGTTAAGCGCCGTGCGTTAAGACAGGCGGTAATCGGCGATTTTTGCATGTTACGTTGCGTGTTCTCCTCGCGAGTTAATTTGAGGTAATGATGAATTATCCTCATTTTGTGTCTTTTGTTTCATTATTATTATTTTTTTGGTAATTGTACGATGTTTAAAAGTATCTGCATGCAAATTTACATGATTTTTCGCACGAGTGCCGTGCTGCAAAGCACGAAAAGATAGCGGCATGGCGCTCCACTCGTTTTTTTACGATCGTTAAATATCGAGCGTTTACTTTATTATTTATTGGCTTTGCGCGAGCGGACGAGGAAAGTGTCGCATTAAAGCTCGCAATAATGAGAAACGTCGCGCTTTAACAGAACACGGAAGGTTCCTCCACTCGTTTCGCGTCGTAGTGCATAATCGTTATCGTCTCATTATACGATACGATTTTCCACCGGCGCGGCGCCGCCGGTCCAGACGCGGTGTTCCTCGAAAATGCGCCAGGAATGGCGCGTTCCAAACGTCCCATTCACGCTCCATTTCTCGTATACATTCATGGCCCGTTAATCTTTAACTGCAGGTACGTTAAGCGTACGTGAGTTCATGCTAATTTTATCACTCGCGGATACGAGAAAGAAAGAGGGAACGGGAGAGAAGTAGACGGAACGGATCTGTTCATGATCTTCTTATTATATCGATAATTAATAAGACAATTCATTTGCTACTATTATTGTTGCTTAATGTAGACGAAAAATTTGTTGCAATAAAATCTGCGCCTAACAATAAGAATTAATAATTATTAGTATCAAAAAGTATTCATGATTATATTCGAGCTTTATATTTGATATAACGCGAGTTTTGTACAGATCCATTACGTTAATTTAAAACAAAAGGTAACTTTCTACTCACCGATACGATGCGCAACAGCGGAGTTGTAGTTTACGCCGTTGATCTGTAAAATATACAAAGACATGTTATTATAGAATAATTATTTAAAATCGAAATTATTACACTGAATATTTCATATTTTCTTCAAATAGATATTTAATCAAATAACTACAAAGTACTCGAAAAGATCTCTTTCTTTTAAATATAAATTTACGAGATTTCAACGTACATTTTTTGCGTGTGACTCAAATCATTTGAATAAATAAAACAAGAGAGTAGATATTAATTTTGCAAGTAGCGAATAACAGATGTCTAAAATAAAACACTCACCTCATGGTTGCTCCGCCGTTGCCCGATGCCTCCCAAGCCTCCTCCTCCTCTCAGGTGTCCTTATTGCACTCGTACAACACTCGCGAAACTGATTAATTACGATCGCACGAAACTTCACGTAACACTCCCGTACGCGACGCGAACATCGGAATCCGAGCATCTGTACACAAAGAAATAGAAATTATTAGTCCGCAAGGAAACGATATTTTACAGTGTTTACTGTCAATCAATCTAATCTTTATGCGTAATGAGTTACACGAGCGAAACATTACGATAAATCGCTATTAATTGTAACAATTAACTGAGGTAATTTTCGATCATATCACATTTCGAGAACGACGCGCGATAAACGACTGCCTTTGCTTCCTGCCTGTACAAGCTGCGAAGTACGATGAAACGATTTACAACAGACAGCGCAAATACCAAAGCCATGCAGCAACAAATTTCTCTGTCTTCCCGAAATTGATAAACAGATTACACTACAATCGACAATTCAAAGCGCGATGCGTAAACGAGATGTAATCGCGACAAAGTACCACGTTACACTATTTTAGACGAGTTAGGCCTGTATTCTGAATCTTCTTTTATCGATAAAAGAGGATTCAGAATTCGGGCCATTGTCTCGTGAAATATCTATTGATATAAAGTCGTCGCGCCTCGCATGCAAATCGTTTCTCATTACAAGTTGTAGGAACTTAATAATTGATCGACGAACGTTACTTGTTATTAATAAACGTGTACAAATTCATAGCGTTTTATCCCGAAACTCATAGCGATCGCGTCTCGGAAACTGATAACGGAAAAATAATACGACGCACGGAGCGATTCTCGACACTACATGCCGGCCCGAGGCTCGGCGAGCGAATGATGACGCGGTGACCTTCGCGTAAACAACGGCACGCGTAACGTCGCGTGATAACCGCACGGGGAGCAAAACAAAAACGAACGCTGAAAATTCGTTATCCTGTCCACGAAATATGAAATAAAGTTGAAAATTCGATCTTTAGATCTTTTCTGTCTTTAGCATCTTTAGATAAATTCAAGACGGTCTTGAATATAAGATCTGACTAGATGAATACCGGTCTATATCTATTATTTGAAATTACTTTGTCCAGTGATTGTTACTAAACATTTTGCGTATCTTTCCGCGGATTCATTAGTTATTGCTTAACGATTGACTCCGTTCAATCGAGAAGATGTTTGAAACGCATATCGTTGTTATTTAAATTGCTGCGATATTTTATCTTTACAGGCATTTGCTTGATTAAATAAATAATATTCAAATGAATATCGAAGAATTTAATTGATGATGATTAAATTAAAAATAAATTATATTAAAAATGGAATAGCATAGCGTGCAAACTGATGAATACATTCGATTATTTCTCCCTTTACGTTTTTAGTATTGTCATCTGTCGATTAAAACAATAAAAAGATTATAACATTTTATATTAAAAAATATATAAATTTTAAAATATAGCTGCCGTTTATAATCGCTGCTGAAGAAGCACTTAAATATACGGCACGATATTGGATTTATGACACAAGGATTTGAAGTTTTCAAAGATTTAAGAGTTCGTATAATTCTAAAGAATAAGTCACGATCTGAAAGTGTCGGAACAGCAATTTTTGTAAAACTTTTCGATATGTTTGCTTCGTGAAACGGAAGTTTAAGCCCTTGAAAGAGTTAGTTTCTCCTATCGGATACGATGAGAAAACTCACGGAAAATTCCGGGTAACCCAGATGAGCGTTGATACATGCGAGTTTGGCGAGTTTATACATTTTTCAATGCGTCCAGCCGCACTGACAACTATCAACGGTGGATTCCTGTCCGATTTCTACGGGAACACACCGAAGTTACCACGGTTCAATGGGACAAAGAGATACCATGGTACTATTGGCGCTGCCGGCTCGATCGATATTTACTGAGACATACATAACTCGATAGAATACACGAATGAACGTAGTGCGCAATCCGTGTGATAACTCGCAGCTTTGGGCATAGCTGGATCAAAACATTCAATAGATTCTACGCTGAACAGAAACGCGACAAATTTATCGCCGAATAATTTCCCGGTACACAAAGAAACACATCATTTATGTAATTAATAATACGTACATTGCAAGTGAGAACAAAAGACGCAGATGCTAATTCTCATCGTAGATTTAGCGTTAAATGTAATCACCTTTTGATATCACGTGTGCATTAAACGGAGAGAACTAAAATAATGGAATTTAACTCGTGTTAAAAAGATGGATTATTACTTTGGGCCAGCCTGCGCACAGCATAAATACAGACGAAAGACTGAGACAAAAGAGTTAAATAAAATTTCAGACTGTCAGTGGCACAATATAAGAGTTTTTGTTTTAAAAAATAGAACCCCGGGCGTCTTGTGGATATAAAAAACTGCTTTTCTTCATTTTACCTCCGTTCCATGTGTGGCAATTTAGTACGCAAACACAGATAAAAGATATAATTTGCAGCACAAACATTGTTCATGTAATTGCGCCCGGAATTCATGTACCTAGAATCTTTCCTGTTTTTCCTTTGTAAAATACACATTGCCGTGTATCCGAATTATTGACATTTAACCATCGATATCTCGCGTGCGGCGGATAAATCCACCTGGTCCTCGTTCCTGCCTTCCGTGTCGAGATACGTTACGGGGAGCCGGAAATTTTATGGAAATTATGCTCTGAGAAGAACGAGATGGGATCCTGCTACGGCGACTCGCAAATCGAACGCATTAAAAGTCCATTATCGGTGGCTACGAGAAACGGGAGGCAGAAAGAGTGAGAGAGAGAGAGAGAGAGAGAGAGAGGAGGGGCAAAGAGGTGGAAAGGAGAACAAAGAAAAAAGAGGCGAGTGAAGGAAGTGGACCAAAGCATCCAACAAGATTCAATCGGTCATGGCCCAGCAGTTAGGCTCCTACAACTTATTAACTCTTAACTTAATAATTTGCCTACCGAGACATTAAATATCAATCGCTGAGTGATGATATTTTAGTTAAATACACGTCTACACGTGAAGATAATTGCGTCAACTTTCGTTTATCTTTTTCAAATAATTGTTATCCTGGAATCTTAGAATCTTGTATTTTTGTCTTATACGAAATAATATTTCCCCGTGTTCTACATCAGTTACAAGAACACATCGAATCTTTCTCCATCATTTTCTCCTCTTTTCCCATTTAATGGATGGACCGAAACAAACTCATTAACTGTATTAATATAACATACAGGGCAGATTAATGTACTTAAGGAAGGGCGTTCAGTTCGACTGAACGCTGTCTGAGAAAGATAAGGGTGGTGACCCCTCGAGAAGATGGATTCGACAATATGCTAGACGTGATTCGGTATTATCATAATATATTACAAAGATGTGTTTTCATTGTACATATAAAAGGATATAAATGGAGCAGAAATTCAAGTAATTTTCTAATTAAATATTTTTGTATCTGTTCTAACTCTTTGTTCTAACTTTTTGTTTAATAAAGCAGCGATATTAAAAGTATAAATTATAATTTACAAATTCGTAAATTATAAGATATATGCGTAACTATTTAAAACAAAATTGGCAAGTGTTACTTTGTAGAAAATAAATCTAATTTCGTAATGAACTGTTATTCGATGTGTAACAATTTCACATCTTGATTTACGAATACACATTTAAAAGCTGCTAAAGACACGTAAAATATTGTTGTCACAATGGAATGTAATTTCACAGAATCAAGACTCTATAGAAATATTTCCTACGATATTAAAAGCTCGTATATCAAAAGCACATTTCTCTTTCCTCGGAAGTTTACAAAATGAGCGTTAAAGCGTGCGATCGATGCGAAACCTTCAATCTAATCACCGAGAGCTACCCTCTGAAATTCGAAACGTTCTCTCAGGATCGATGTCGTACTCACACTCGCAGCGTGTCGTCGTGCCTGCCGCCGGGGCGCGCGCAGAGAAAGCCAGTCGTACATACACACGTATACGCGGCGTGCGCTACAGCATCCGAAGAGACGCGGAGGAAATCGCAGTATAAGCTTAAGTACATGTGTCTGCTCGGGATAGGGTAGTATGTAGGACGTTATCAACGTGCACCACATTGGTCCGAAGGCCGAAATACGATTTCGTACTTTGTTCCCGCGCGGGGCTCACGATAATTGCGCAGAATTGCGCCGCTTAGATTACACCGGAGAGTGCCTTCTTTGATGGCTGGGACCGCTCGGATGCCCTTCGGCAAAGGCGAGCAAATTCGGAGGCGATGGGCGCAAGTAATTGGTGCAGCGAGGCTGAAGCGGACGAGAGAACGGAGGCCGGAATTAGATGTTCTTATGTAACATTGAGAGAGGGAGAGAGGCATTTTTTCGTATCTTCCTGGATTCGTAGTGGAAAAAGAGAGAGAGAGAGAGCAGTTCCTCGCGGCCAGATAGGACGAAACGAAGTAGCGCGAAATACCTTGATGAAAGAATTATTTATTAAAGACCAGCGTGTTTCACACGGAACGTTGGCTCTCCAAGGAACTTTCTTTTACAAAGTATACGTTTTCGTTTCGTGCGATAGGGCGTGCTAGAAAGTCTAGGGGATGTCTTATTGCGTATATATAATTAATGAGAATAATAAGTTCGTAAAATTAAACGTAACATTTTGTTCCTTTTAAATATTCCATGTGTAATTTAAAAGAATAGGCTTTTCCACAGCTTTGTTTTGTTTAAGACATCGAAAAGAAGATGAAAGAAAGCCGCGATGGGGAAAGCGAGCTGGTCCTGCATAAATTTATTCAATTAATTCTTTACGCCGCGAATTGATATTTCGGCCTTATAAATTTTTTTAATCGGAGTTGTTTTCCCGAGACTTGATATCGATACACGGAGAGAATTTTCTCTTAAATTTTATCCTGGAAATCATGTAATCGTCGGACAATATGGCATTTTAAAGAACCTTATGAGTTTTTTTAAATTTGACCGTATATTTAACCAGTAATTATATTTAGTATACATTTTACTACACCGAGAAAAAAAATTGTTAATATTACTAAATATATTTAGTTAACAATATTTCTTTAATTCAAATATATATGTTTTTCACTTAAACATACATCATTTATTCAAATATATATATTTTGAATTAACAAATGTTTACGTGAATTAACAAATATTTGTTTG